TATCCGAATACCACAGTATTCGAATACCAAATACCCAAGTATTCGAATACCACACAGTATTCGAATACTTCTTCAAGGTATCCGAATATTTTTCTTCCCAGAAAAGTATCCCAATACTCTAGCAAGGAGTATTCGACTACCAGAGGAGAAGTATTCGAATACTACACGAAAAATATTCGAATACTTCTCCAACAGAATGCAGAAATTCGAGCATTCTTCTGCATAATCCCATTTTAAGGGTCCAAACGTGATTTGGAGTCCAAAGACTCCCTCAACAGATGTTCATACACACATTATGAACTCAGAAACACATTCATTTATTCAAATGGTCCAAGTTTTACTTTTTAACCGATTAAACAAGCTTAATTCATCAAAATGAAAAAGACTATGATCATGGTATACCTCAAGAGGCTCAAACTCAGAAAAGACTCCCTCTTGGAGCTCCCAACAAAGCTCAAGGGTTCTGACTTGAGAAGGACACGAAAATGTACACCAAGGTAGGTCTTTTACTTCACAAGATAGCTCCTTGGAGCCTCCAATGGAATGAACATGTTGAGATATATAGTCCCACATTGGTTGTATCTGCAACTAATGTGGAGTTTATAAGATCTTGAGCACTCCCACCCTTTGAGCTAACTTTTAGGGTGGTGTATCCCAAGGTTCTTTATATGGTATCAGAGCCTCGCCTCCCCCCACTTTCTCTTATGGCGTTTCTTAGCACAGGTAGGCTGAACCTGTTACATTGTCTACTCTTCAAGCCCAATGGGCTCTCGTGTGAGGGGGCGTGTTGAGATATATAGTCCCACATTGGTTGTATGTGCAACTAATGTGGAGTTTATAAGATCTTGAGCATTCCCACCCTTTGAGCTAGCTTTTGGGGTGGTGACCTTAAGGTTCTTTACATGGTATCAGAGCCTCGTGTCCCGGGTTCGATCCTCGTCGTCTCTCACTTTCTTTCAAGTGGAATTTCTTTGTTCGCACAGATAGGTGGGCCTGTGCATTGTCCACCCTTCAAGCCCAGTGGGCTCTCGTGTGAGGGGGCGTGTTGAGATATATAAAACCATTAATGTAGCCTCACCCAACAACTTAAGCTTTTGGGTTGAATTGGTTCTTTACAGAACAAAGCTCTCACAACCAACTCTCAAGCTCAACACCCCAAACTCAGAAATGCAACACTATGATCCAACTCATAGCAGCCCAAACACTCAGAACAAGGTCACCAACTCACCACCAAAGCTACCTCACACTCACACAAAGTGCTTAGATGAAAGTTTCAAGAAGAAAAAGGCCCCTTGGCTCACAAAATGGGGAAGAGAAGCAATGGAACAGTGAATGGGAGCTGGTCAGCCTCCAACTCATGTAGCAACAGAAAGGATACCTAGGGTTTAGTGCCAAATGAGCATATATATAGGCAGTTTAAGTTTAAACACCCAGTATTATCAATAATAGCTACGCTTAGCATTTTAATCTCAAACTTTGGAATCTGAACCTACTCATTTTTCTAAGATTTATCATATTTTTATTTTATTTTTCGCAGCACCTTTCCAGTACGCGCTTTTCCATAGCCAGTATCAGTTCTGGCACCAGTTCTCATTATTTTAACTTGAAACTCGTTTTACAAGTCCTATATATTATTGTAGTGACATATACACACTTATTATAATTTTCCGGGATACTTCATCGGTACGCATTTATACCGAGGAGCAGAACCGATATCTGCACTTTTCATCAGAAAAGTGACTTTTCGCATTATTAATCACTTACCAAAATCATTTAGGCCTTATCATAATTATTAGTGTCAATTATGAAATTATTTCCTAATGTCACATAATTAATTAATTAACTTCCTTAATTAACGGTGTAGGTTCTTACATCTTTTGACATTAATATTTTCAAATTAAATTAAAATTCAATGCACATCGACAAAAAACATACCTGAACAATCCAGGAAGATGGGTGGATTGAGTGAATGAAAATATTAATTTTTTAAATTACAAAAATAAAAATTATAAAAACCAAAAGCTAGAGATAGCGAGATACAAAAACAACATCGAAAGTAACCCCTCGTTCAGTGTGGAGAGTGGGATGTGCATAATAAGTGATGGCTGCTTCAAGAAAATTGAGCAATTAACGGGCAACATTGAAGTGGCGCCAGGTGCCAAAGCTTTTTTTGTCTTCATCATCTATCGTTATCTTGGGTGGGAAAAAGAAAAAATTTACATCCATTTCATTTTGTGCAGTTGTCGGGTGAAATGGATAGTTAGGCAGTTATTGGAGTAACGCAATAGAGAAAACCAGTTTAATCGTGCCACTGAGAAGTCTTTCAGGAAAAAGACGCACTACATATAGAAGCATTATTATCACCTCTGTGTTCTATTGCACAAAAAGTTGTTTTACATAAACATGCAACACACAAGTCATTTTCTGTGTATATTTTATCAAAGATAACACGTCTCCAATGCTAAACTTTATTGCCTGTCCATCCTTCATTTTCATATTTACTTAAATTATTGATCACTTTACCTTAGATATTATGTAGCATTAGGGTGGATACTATTTTTTAAAAAGTAAAGTTAGAAGTGAATAAATAAGTATATTAAATTTAAACCGGACTATAATTTTTTTTTTTATATTTCTCCATTGTTTTATTGATTAATCAACAAATTCGGGTCAAGTCATGACAAAAATTGAGACCACTAATTAAACTGAAATAACTACATAGCAATTGATCCATATATTTGGTGGTATTATACTATAATCTTAACATAAATTTAAGGGTTAATTTATGAAACTTTGAACCCTCATAAAAAATGAATAAAGGTGGATTTAATTAGTAAATTGTGTCTTCAACAACGTCTAATAATCAATACTTCGTAAAATGCATATAGATAAATATATTTATATTATCATACTTAAATAAATAAAATTAGTTTTTCTCTGAAAACTTTCATTTTCTCACTTATTTTTAAAAAATAAAATTAGGAAGGGATTCTTTCCATTTTATGATTTATGATGAGATTACATGTATAGTAAGATTACACATCACTACTAACAGTAAATTCCTAGTTTGGTACTACTTTTATGTTCACTAACTTTATCTTTTTTATATTCACTATTCATGCCCTTGATAGTTATACTTTTTTTGCATTCAAATTATTATTTACAAATTATGGAAAATTCAAAAAGCATTATGAAATGTAAGTACCATGAAGTTTTTTCGTCCTTGGATTAAAAAATTAAGGGAATGAATTAAGGTTACCTTTTTTTAAAATAAGAGATGCTACAAATTCCAAGAAGAATTAATAGCACATTAGTAATGAAAAGTTAGGAACCTTAAATCAACCACCAATGTTATCAAGAATTTATTTTATAGAATAAAATTATATTTCATTTAAATTGATATTCTCAATTAAAAAATATTTGATGCGATCCAACAACAAAAAAAACATTTGATGTGAAATATGTACATTTAACTATGGGTTATGTTTATCTCATTTTACATGAGATAAATAATTTTCTTACACATACAAAAAAGAGTTGAGTCTCACTATTTTTTTCTCTCTCTACTTACATATGAATTCATTTGTAATTTTATTTCTACAATATGAGATAACTATTTTTCTACATCATAATAAAAATATTTCCCTTTTAACTCTCTACTATGAAGTCGTGCGTAGCCGTAGAAGACGAATGAAGTTACGGAAGCCGCTGGCAGTTTTGTGAACAAGCACCGCAGTACATGCACGCGTGTACCCTGTACGCATATGTACTTTCCCCGACTTTAATGGATATTGCCCCTCTACTATTATCTCCTTTTACGCTTTCCCGTTTTCAAAAAATTCACCTCCTTCGTTAGGGTTTAAATTGTCTCTTTTATAAAAAATATTTATCTTATATTAACGAGATATAAAAAATTATGCCATTCTTTTTTTATTTTTAAAAATAGTGAGATCCATATAATTTATTTCTATGCATGATACAAGCTATCTTTTATTAAAGAAGATTAGTAAATCCCCCTTTGTTATCTTCTTCTTCTTCTTATTATTCTTTTTAAAAAAAAAAAACTTTTTTTTGATTTTGTGATAGCCATAATTCAAAACCTAGAGTTTAGCCTTCCCCTACCTACTTGATAGGAGAAAATGTTAGGTACAATCTCAATTGATGTGATACATGCAAGAGTAATAGTTAATCCGCAAACATATGAATAGTAAATTGTTAAAATATATAATATAAAATAAAAAAAATTCGTTTATAATTTTTTTTTACAAATTACACTAAGTATGATCGGTCATACACTCTTGATTAAAGTATGACTGGTCATACTTAGTGTGGTTTATAAACAAAAAATTTATAAATATAACATTTTTCATATAAAATTAAGAAAATATATTTATCATGTATGAATAATTTTATTTTATGCATGAAAAGAGAGAAAATAAAAAAAATAGTATCATCCACTTTTTTTGTGTATGCATGAAATAATTTTGTCTAATATAACATAAAATGTACCCCCATTAAATTATTGAAAGTCCATCATCTTGTATTGTTGGGTAAGATTGTTATTTATCATGATAAATGACTCTTGTGTGAGGAGATGTGTTCCATTACTTACCAACTTGACATAGTTAATTCAACTTATAATAAATTATGTTAATAAATTGTTAATATAATTTGATAATTAGTTTATAGAAAATTTAACCCTACCCCTAATATGACCCTTCTTGGATATGCCATTTTTAATTAAGTTTCCTATTTCATTTTTTTTTTCTTTTGATAGGAAACTCTCAAGTTGAGTGGTTTTTAAGCTCTAACCACCTTCACTTGCTCCCTATATATATGTCCTTCCACTTTGATTGGTTTTCTAACCCACTTCTCCTCCCTCCTAAGTGCAAACTCCAAAGTCAAATCCAGTTCCATTTCCTATTCCAATCAATAATTTCTTCGGTGTATATTTGTTATTACACTGGAATCTCAATAACCACATACATCTATCCATAGCCATGCCACAGGCTCCTAAACATTACCTGTGCAGCAAGCCAAATGTTGAACTTGATTATGATGATGTTAGTAACACTAACATCGTCAGGGACAACAACAAGAAAGCACTGAAATACATTGAGGATGTTACCAGCAACGCTGATGAAATTCAAGAAAGGGTCCTTGCAGAGATCCTTTCCTCTAGTGCCCGCGTTGAGTACCTGCAACGTCATGGCCTAGATGGGCACACAGACAAAAACACCTTCAAAAAGGTCATGCCTGTTGTGACTTACGAGGATTTAAAGCCAGATATTGATCGTATAGCTAATGGTGATACCTCCCCAATTTTATGTTCCAAGCCCATATCAGAGTTCCTCACTAGGTCAGTATCTAACAATAGATATTTTTTCCTTTTTTTTTTTTAGGGAGAATGATTTCTGCAGTGGTGGAGAAATCATTCTCTCGTCACTGACACAAATTTTTCTCATCTCTCTCTTATTTTTGTATCAGTGACGACAGATGGAAAGGTAGAAATCATTCTCGTTTTTTTTTTTAAGTTATGCTATTCTTACATTCAAAACCTTAATCACACCTCATCTAACCTAGTAACGATGAGTAACGAAACTGATATAAGAATAATAAATCTTACATTTAATTTTAACTGTTAATTTATATGCATTTGACTATGATTTACTAGTTAACTAATTTAGATACAAATAGTATAATCCTCAAAATTCACCTGCTCAAAGAGTAGTATGTTGAATCATAACTCTAGAGAAAGATGGAGAAATTTAAACCTGAAATCAAATTAATTGGATTTGTTAGGGTTTCGGACACTGGTTGGAATATATAAAAAAAAAAAAAGTAATATAATCCATTGAGATTGAAAGTGTAACTCTTATATTTTTCTTAATGTAGCTCTGGAACATCTGGTGGGGAGAGAAAATTGATGCCAGCAATAGAAGATGAGCTAGAGCGAAGGTCATTACTTTATAGCCTTTTGATGCCAGTGATGGATCAATTTGTACCCGGTTTGGACAAAGGCAAAGGCATGTACTTTTTGTTCATAAAATCAGAAGCCAAGACACCAGGGGGACTCCTTGCTCGTCCAGTTTTAACAAGCTACTACAAGAGCTCACACTTTAAGAACCGCACACATGAACATGATCCCTACACAAACTACACTAGCCCCAATGAGACCATTCTCTGTCTTGATTCTTATCAAAGCATGTATTCTCAGTTGCTTTGTGGGCTTTGTCAAAATGAGGAAGTGCTTCGTGTTGGGGCTGTTTTCGCTTCCGGTTTCATTCGTACCATTAAATTCCTCGAAAAGCATTGGGTTTGTTTGTGTAATGACATAAAAACGGGTACTATAGATGCTGAAATCACTGACCCATCAGTGAGAGAGGCTGTTATGAAAATACTTAAACCAAATCCCAAGCTTGCGGATTTCATTGAAACCGAATGCAAGAAGGATTCGTGGAAAGGGATCATTACTAGGTTATGGCCCAACACAAAGTATGTTGATGTTATTGTCACTGGAACCATGTCTCAGTATATCCCAACATTGGATTACTATAGCAATGGTCTCCCTCTTGTCTGCACCATGTATGCTTCTTCTGAGTGTTATTTTGGCCTCAACTTAAACCCTTTATGTGAACCAAGTGAGGTATCTTACACCCTCATTCCCACCATGGCCTACTTTGAGTTCTTGCCCCTCAACAAGAAAAACGAACACACCAATTCAATTTCTCACCAAGAGCAAGAACATTTAGTTGATCTAGTAGATGTAGAGTTGGGTCAAGAATATGAGCTTGTAGTCACCACTTATGCAGGTAAAATTTCATTTCTCTTCAATTTCAACACTCTTGAAAGATATTTTCTCAGGGAGGATATATATACTCGTGTGTAAGAATAATAAGTTTTATTCTCAATTTTAATCGTTAAATTTCACTTGTATTATATACAAGTGAAATCGACTATTAAAGATTAGGTATAGGACATATTATTATGGTTTAGGGTTGATTTTTATTTTAATATATAGTTTTTGTTTGATTTAATTAACTTATAATAATAATGCAATTATGCACCATCCACACACAGGTCTTTACAGGTACAAGGTTGGTGACATACTCCGAGTAGCTGGATTCAAGAACAAGGCTCCTCAATTCAACTTTGTGTGCCGAAAGAACGTGGTTTTGAGCATTGATTCTGATAAAACGGATGAAGTTGAGCTACAAAATGCTGTGAAAAATGGAGCTATCCATCTTTTACAATTTGGTGCATCGCTCATAGAATACACAAGCTACGCGGACACGTCAACTATACCGGGACACTACGTATTGTACTGGGAGATTATCATGAATGGACAAAACCCAATTCCTGCTTCTGTTTTTGAGGAATGTTGTCTTTCAATTGAAGGATCTCTCAACAGCGTTTATCGCCAAGGAAGGGTATCAGAGTCCATTGGGCCATTGGAAATCAAGATAGTGGAAAGTGGGACATTTGACAAGCTCATGGACTTTGCTCTAAGTCAGGGTGCATCAATAAATCAGTACAAGACACCTCGTTGTGTAAAATATGCTCCCATTGTAGAGATTCTAAACTCCAAAGCAATTTCCAATTGCTTCAGTCCAAAATGCCCTCAGTGGGTTCCTGGTCACAAGAGGTGGTGCACCCTTGACTGAAAGGGTAATACTAATATTGAACTACTAGCTAGTAAAGTTCGAGAAGAAATTGCTTTTAACTCAGATTTTGTGACATGGTAGTCTTTGAAGTTTTTATATGTCTAATCTAGTGTAAGATCTTTTAAATTAAATAAGGATTCCTTAGTTACCTGCCTAGTAATCAAATCTTAGGAGAGAGTCACTGTTATGTAATATCTGATAATAACATTGCATGGGGGAATATTAACTTTATCACTTTGAATCACCTCAATTCCATAACATAATCATATGAGGTGCAATTTACAAAATTGGATTCCAACTTAGAAAAGCATAATAAGTAAATTTTCAGAGGAAATCTATCACTTCAAAATGTCGGGGATTTGACTCGACATTATTGGGCCATAACAATATATAGTAGATGTAGATGGATGTATGGCCAGTCCTTTTTTTTTTTTTCTTGGCCCTTTCTCCCTTACTAATTTCCCAATATCAGGAATAATGCATGTACCATATTTGAGTTCCATCCGTCTCAAGCTTTACAATTTTTAAAGTGAAGTTATTTTTTACAAAGTGATTGGTTCAAGTAGTATATATTTAATTATTTTTATGTAATGTCAAAATTTCTTCCGGGAAATATAACTTCACTATAATATAAATATTTTTGGCTCAAATAAAATTGACTCCGTAAAAAATATCTGTGATTTATTTATAAAAAATGAATTAATTTAAAGCGAGCAAGATATATACTTTTGATTTAATTTAAAGTTAAAAATAAAATAAAAAATCTTCAATTATACAGTTATCTTACTTTGTTAAAATTTAAAATTAAATATATTCTCAAATTCATAAACAAATCCACTCTAGACAACCTTATCCCGCAATCTTATGACTGAGTAGCCAATGCTTTTTTATATATAGTCAACTGTTGCCCACCGCTAATGCATAGTGGCAATGGTACAGTGATTGGCAAAGTTCAGTGCATATAAATGATTAGCTTTGGCACCTAATTCTTGTCCTCCTATATGAATGCAAGCTATTTTCTTTTGGTCTGATTTTGTCGGCTAAAATCATTATATATATATATAAAGATTTACATTTCTGCAGCTGCTGTACGCGCAACAATCAAATATTTGTCATATATATACGTGAAAGCATTAAATGTAAGAAATCATAATCATACAAAAGATGAAGAAATTAAAGGAATCATAACCATACATCTGTCGTTGCTGTATGTAAAGCGGCTGCAGAAATAATTTTACAATATATATATATATATATATATATATATATATATATATATATATATATATATATATATAAGTTATTTTGCCTATCTTTTTTTCCATGCTTATTTTATCTATCAATTTTTAATATTATTAGATTAAAGAAAAAAGTCCATCATTGCCCTTGTGATTTACTTCAGAACACTTATGCCTTTGTAATTTTTTGTTTATTACATATGCCCTTGTAGTTTATAAAATATAAAAAATCACAGGGATATATTTTACAAACCACAGGGGCATATGTGATAAAAAAAAAAATCACAGGAACATAGGTGATTTTGAAGTAGACCACATGAACATTAGTGAACTTTTTCCTAAATTAAAATCTCAAAAAGAGAGAGAAATTGCAAAGGTTAATTAAGATTTTGATTTAACGGTGTGGAAGAATGATAGAAATAAAAATAAAGTACGTAGAATAACTTACCCTCTACAAAAAAATCCTTAGAAGCTAAAATCATATATAAACAAGTTTAATACTTTTCATAAGGGCTTGAATTTCTAAGTACAAATCTAATTTTAAATCACAAGACCACACACGTACACTACAAGAATCCTTGCCAATATTTTCTCTGGATCGAACGCACCAAATCAATACTTCTTGGTTCTCTCTGTCTGTCTTTTTCCCCTCCTTGATTGCTTGGTTTACACTTTCATGTTCCTGTTCTCGTTCTATACCAATACTAATGTAGTGTAGCTAACGAATTGGATTCTTTAAAAGTGTACGAAATCGACAATCATACAAATCACAAAGAAAGAGAGAGAATAGACACAATGATTTATCCTGGTTCACTCAATTTCGACTACGTCAAAATTGTCTGTACTATATTCACCTCATCGCTACATTTTACAAGTCATTCGGTAGAGAATATAAATAGGATTAGAAAAAATACTAACAGCAGCTATTTATGGACTCAAGCTCAAACTATTAAGAAAAGGAAAATTTACAATAAATCAGAGGCTTACAACAATACCTAGCCTCTACGGGCCTGAAGATGCTGTGCCTCTCGGACCCTTGCCAGGATGGCTTCCTTGTATCCCTGCCCGTTCACCTGGAAGCAGGACGCTAATTGCCTTTTGTTAACCCCCATAACAAGAATCCTCGTCAGCATGTGAATAATGAGCCATACCCAACATAAAGTGAGTAAAATTTTTGTATTAGGGAAGTAGCCAAGTGGGTACTTTCTTTTTTCATATTTGGTAAACTTTTCACGAATTTTGAAAATTTAATTTGTCTGCACATTGATATATATATATTTTTTTTTTAAATTACTCAATTGGATATATTCGATGCACACATAAAATTTTCCTTTAAAACAGTGTTTAAAAACCTGGCCCGACCATCGACCCGGCCGAGGTCAGGGGTCACGGGTTCAATCCGGGGGTCAGGGGGTCACTACGCTGACTCGGTTTTATATATTAAAAAATTATAAATATATATATCTTATATGAAAATATTAAAAAAATAAACCACCAATTATCAAAGATTCAAAATATATTCAATATAATTCCCCAATTACAACCACAAGTCAATATTACACAACCTAATTAAAGTATCAAGATACCAAAGTACAAAACTCATATTCTAATGGGGTCACTATGCTGACCCGGTTCTGTCTCTTTTGAGAAGGTCATTGACAAAGGAAAATTTAAAGGAAGTAAGAATGAGTTTTTGTTTTTTATCAACGACCGTAAGGATTTCATTTGAATGGGTAAAATTCTTTCCTTTTATAGAAGATTCACGGCAGCGCGCGAGGTGAAGATTGAAGACATCTAGGTTGCTGGGAGAGAAGAGAATGATTAGATTTAGGTTTGCAAGCATTTTTATTTTATTTTTTTAATAAAACGACGTTGTTTCATGGAATTTTTTTAAAAAAAAAAAACACATGCAGTGACCCCCTTTGACCCCTCTCACCCGGGAGTCACTGAAACCGGAACGGGTTTTAGGAGTCGGAGGGGTCAATGTGCATATAAGGTGCAACTTGTGACCCCAACTCTCAGAGAGAATGGATGAGAGTTGACCCGGGTCAACCCGAGAGACGGGGCGGGATTTTAAAACACTGTACACCAATCGTTAGTTACCTAATGGTTAATAACGCAACAACTAGAAGATAAGTATGCATTTTGGAAATAAAAACTGTACACCAAAAGAAAAAAAAATCACACCAAACATCCAAGTTTATCTTTTCTTTTTTTAAAAAAATTAAAATATTGGATATCAATAAATTTCGCTCTCCTTGTATAAAATAATAAACAAATAACGGCTATATCCTCAAATACAAGATTTAATTATTGGAAAAGTAAAGTTTTTCTTAAAATCATGCTCACTGCCCTACCTAGACAGAACATGCTAAGTGACAAGCCTACTGAAATGCCACTTTGGCATTCGATGAAGCCCAAGAAAATCCCATCATTTGCGACCTTATTTTTTGTCGCCTAAGAGTATCTCTAGCATTGCAATGTCCTGTGCATAGTATCATTTCTTCTAAGGCCTTCCCATGCTTGAGGAGAAACTTTGCAAGTGTAACTTCATTCTCACAATCAAGAAACCCGTTGATTTTCACCATTTTCAAGTGTTGTAGAAAAGATTTCAGAGTTGGGATCTGAGATTCCCAATACTGCTCTTCTTCGGTGCTAGTTAAGTCCCATAAATCCCTATTCCATTGCTGAAGCGGATGAAAAGTGAAATCAAACTTTCATAAAGTGTGCTTCGTACGAGCATGCAAAAAATCATAATAAATAAATTCATGGTATAGCTTACTTTTCTTTCAATATTATAATCGTTAATGATCTTGAGAATCAGAGTGTGGAGTGTAGGAGAGCTCCTGAATAGGCATGCTAATCCCTGAACATTACTTTTGTTGAAACCAGTATGCAGCTCTAATGATTTGAGATTATGAAATGGCTGAATGAAGAAGTTACTGCGTGATAGAATCTGCAGCCAAAGGGAAAGGGAAAAGGTTGTAAATATATTTTCACAGAAAAAGGGAAATACAATAGAGATTCAACAAATTATGATCATGTATATCAGCCAGATAAACGTTGAATGAGAATAGAATTCTGATAATCAAATATGGCCATCTCTAATAATTGTGATTGAAAAAGAAATAAAATGTGTTCAATATGAGAGGATCTTATTTAATATGGGATCTAGTGACTATAAAATGGTGGCGTGTGGATAATGGTGCTGAGAGGCTAAGGTTTATATCTGTATTTAACCATTTATTTATGTGGTTTGTTTTTCTGTATCATAGGAGAAAACAAATATTTCCTACAGATGTCATATAAAGGTGTGCCATTTTTTTCTTTTTTAAATAGGTGGGCCCCTCATTTATTGTATATATGACATGAGATTAAAAATTTCCTACAACATAAGACTCATTTTAAGTGAAAGAAAGATAGATTATGATGCAGAGAGAGTGAACAAAAAAATAAAATAAAGATAGATTATGAGGTAGAGAGAGTGGACAAAAAAATAAAATAAAGATATGAGTCTCACCTCTTTATGAGAGTAAGATGACACAAGTTATTGTGTTATTTAAAAAGACAAACATTTTTCCCTTATATATGATTCATATCTTGAATTTTTTTCTAGAACTTGTGGAATCTATATGTGAATCCAGACCAAAATGAATCTTTTAAGACTATGCATCAATCAAATTTTGAGCGTAGAAGTTAATATTATATAGGTTTTAAGGTTCTCTAACATCAAATAGGAAATGTTGATATGCTTCTATAAATTAATATCTCAACAAGCCATTAGAATATTGGAAATTTCAAATTTTATTGGCGATAATTTCTATGCATTTCAAAAGAAAATGTAAACTTTACCTCAATAGTTTGGCTTTCAAGAGTCAAGGAACGAGCATGAGAGAGCCCAGACAAGAAGTTATTGACACTTTGAAGCTTACCCATACTAATATCTTCATTCAGTATAAAGAAACCAATGGAGGCCTCACGCAAGAAATTTGAATGCTCAAAAGTAGTCATGTCAGTGACTGCATTATATTGCCAAAACAAATGTTCAAGCTTTGGTGCATTGATTCTTACCCAACTCTTGTCACTATATGCATCAAAACAACTTGCTACTCTCATTCTTTCAAGTTTTGCACCTGAGATATCCAAACTTTGTAGCTGAAAACATTTCTCTAAGCTCAAATTTTCAAGAGCCCGGCAACCAACACGTAGGTATTTCAATCCAAAACACATATCAAGGTGCAAATTTCTCAAGAGAGGAAAGGATGATTCAGAGAACAAATCAGAGAGAGAAGGCTGATTGTACAAAATGACTAGGGAAAGAGACAAGGTTTGTAGAGATTGGAATCCATCCCTCATAATTGATGATGGAGGCAAACGAAAACCTGATTTCAATTTCAAAACCCTTAAAGATTCACTCCCAATAACACATCTAGGAAAATTGAAGTAATCATCTGTGACCACCTCTGTGGCCACTTCAATATCAAGCTCTCTAACATTATGCCTAATGGCACTACGAATCAAACTATTTAGTCTTGAAAAACTCAAACGGGCACGAAAACAAAGAATCCTAATGTCTGAGTGTTTGCCACGAATTGAGAGAACTTGGGTGATGAAATCCATTCGTGTTGAGGCCAAAGGATGCCTTGGTTTTTCAAAGTTTGAAAATTTGAGATTTTTGGAAGAAATTGCAAATGGGTTAAGGGTTGTGAAGTCAAGGTCAGGGAAAGTGGTCCATAAAAGTTTCCATCTCTTGGAAAGAACACTCATCTGTGCAACACATTTGATGGGAAGGAGGAAAAGAATATGATGAAGAACAGCATCAGGGAGATCACTAATCCGATCAGTAGCATCATTCTCTAATATTTGAGCAATTTTTTTGCGTTTTGCTGATCTTGTTTCCAT